GCGACCAAATTCGGAGGGCGGAATGGATTAACCGGATTTACATTGAACCCTATGGGGAAATTTCCTTCGGGTTACGTCCAACTCGGGATACGCCCAGAGTCACGGAACGGATTAAGTTCGTATCCCGAGGTACCACTGTATTAGCTAAATCTGATAGCTCAAAAAAAAAAAAAACCTAAATGCCATCCCTTAATCTTTATTTCTAGTATATTGTAGAAGCATTATCTTCTTTTGGCGTACTATAGTCTTCTTCATATTCCCAATTTTTTCCTTCTTTTTTGACATTCTTTTGAGGCAGAAATAGCAATTCAGAATGAAGTCTGTCCAATAACATCCTTAGGGGTGACAATGTGGCTCAAGATCATGTCTGCCTGTTGATAAAATAATGCTTGAAAGGTTTGAGAAAAGTATGATGCCTCTTTCATGATCATCTAATGTACAAAACAAAACACAGCTAGAAAAGTATAGCTTGCTATTCCAAATATATTGCTTCTGAATGTTTTTGTTATCTTTTTGTTCCATAGGTATCTGATAACAAAGCCTCGTTGCCTGCCAAGCCAGGAGGCTTAACAAGTGGAGGTGCTTTATCTTCTTCACTATCTTCTTCATCTATACTTCATCCAGTTTCAGTAGGAACAACAGGCCACAGGTCAAATTCCCCTTCTTTATTCAGTACTGATGGAAAGCCAAAGACTGATCACTCAAGCCAAGGTGAAGCAGCTTTGGAAGAACTAAGGTCACAAGTTAAGGAGCTACGCACCATCATTGAAACAATGAAAGACCAGCAAAAGTGAGTATTCTAGTATTGTTCCTTGTATTAATCAGATAGGGCAACTTGGGTTTTTGTTGTTGTTGTTGTTCCATTAACTTTTTCAGTGAACTTGTTCAACTGTATCTTTTTCACTAAGGCTGGTAGATAAAAATGGAAATGCAAGCCAACACTATAAACTTGTAGCAGGGCTTTCCAAGCTGTATCCCACAGCATAACTTTGCTATTTCCTTGTTTATTACATTTTTGTATTATCGCCTAGTTTGAACAATTTGATTTTAGGCTGCATAGAAAAAGAAAACCAAAAGCCATAATTAATTAATGCAAAATAACCTAACTCATAAAACACACTAAACAATAAACTGGTGAACAGAACTGAAAACTTCTGCAAACTCACCCACTGGAGACTCAGCTGAACCTGACTCCAAAGCCAACCTGTATTTGTTATATGAAAATATGTGATTAAAGAAACAAAAGTTAGCTTCACAAACAAGGTCTTTCTGCTGTAACGTGGGTTCTTAACTTCACATCTGTTTTTCTCCCTGAGTTTCCAAGCCAGTTAAGTGTGAAATCTCTGCATGTAAGTCACTGAACATGAAATCTATATACAGCAGAATAACTTATTTGGACTGAGCTGTAGAAACATGCTGACCTTTGCTGTAATTTGAGAAACACAGGAGTCAACTTCAGCCCTGTCTGCAGTACTACCTGCAGTATTAACAATGGACTACAAGGGAGAATGACTCCTTCTACACTGCTCTCCAGATTGCACCAAGTTTTTAACAGGACACCTAAGTTGCATGACTGTTTTACACTTCTCTCTCAGTCCAACATGCAGTACAGAAAAGAACAGATCGTGTGCGGTATTGATGTAACCAACGTATCTTCAGATTCTGCCAAATCCCCACCTGCATCCAACACCTCTAGACAGCACTGGATAGTTGTGAATTTATATTATTATATCAATTATATCCAATTTGTATTATTTTACCATCAGTGTGACTACAGTGCAGGATTGTCAAAAAAACAACTTTCTCCAACCTGGGATCAATTAACTGTGTTTTACTTTGGAAAATGCATCAATAGTTACTTTTAAATGATTTGCAGTAATGCAAAATATGTGAGGAAGAGAAGAAACTCTTCAATTTGCTATTATTTGTGAGGTTCTTGGGAGGTAGAATGCCCCCTCTTAGTTACATTAAATTATTATATTTCTCTAAATTTAGTTTTGACAGGTAGCTCATAGCTGTCTTTCATGACTGACATATAAAAATATAGGCCCTATATGAACCAGGAATCAACTGATGTTTTTATTTACATATTCTGTTTCTGTTCTTCTTTCTCTTTCTGCTGAAATTCATTTAATTATGTTTTCCCTCTGACTTATGTTCTGGGTTTTCTTCCAATAGTCTATCAGTATTCTATGCCTTTGAGAGTGCTCACATCTCATGGATTTGTATTGGGCACTTTCTCCCACCAATATTTTTATCTATGTATTTAATTTGTGTTTTCCTCAATTCTGCTGATGTATATCTTGTACATAATTGCTATCGCTTTTGGCTGCATAATGGCACTTGCAGCATTTGTAAATATGAATTGGTTTTAAAGTTTAAGGCTGAATTTTAAAACTTTTTGATGGACTTGAAAGAAAATGAAATTTATGTTTGCCGGTTTTTTAACGTGTACATTGAAGAGTTTCTGATTGTTTAATTTGCCACAAAATACTTAGAAATCGGAAATATGGTCGATATTCCTATTTACTGTAATTAATGATACATGTCTCAAGCACCATGATTAGTTCAGAGTGACTAAAGCAATTTTTGTATTATTCTGGGTTTTTTTCATGATCTTAAAGGATTTTTGTGCTTTTTATCATGCCTATTTCAAGTTTGGGTTCATAATTCATCTAGTCTTGATTGAATATAGTGGTAAAAATTCTGCTAAGTTCTGCCATAAAGGCCAGGGCAAGTCTGAAATTACATTCTGAAATTATATTCTAAAGAAGTTAGGGAAGTTTGCAATAATCAAGGTCAGTATCCATAGAATATTTTCTGTACATCTGTTATTCAATTATTGCCTTCTGTGCCTGTCAGCTTCACTTTAAAATAATTTTCTAGGAATATATAATATCCTGCTGGTTGATTTTTTTCCCTTAATGTAGATAGGCATTAAAAACAAGCATGCTATGCTGTTCTGTTCTGTTCTGTTCCCAGGTGAAATTCTAAAAACTCTTGAAATTGTAGGGAATTTCAGTGCAGAGCTCACAACTGTAGTTGCAACAAGGATTTGGAGAATCCCAAAGTGTGCATGTAAGGATCTCTTCAAAGCAGATATGCAACCTTTTGGTGGCTGAGGACTACCCTCAATATTTCTAAGGGGGCCATATATATCTGTGTGAGAATGTACGTGAAAAAGAAAACAAGAGTTTTGGATCTGATTAAGCACAGCAGGAAGAATTGTACTATTTCCTAATTTTTCATCCAGAAGCTGCAGTTCTAAATATTTCGTTCCATTTACCATTGCTGAATGGGCAATAGTAGCTTTTCTCAGTTATATTCGTTTAGAGGAAACATTACAGAAGGAAAGAGCAAACTATTTATTCCATTAGAAATTGGAGCTGTCACTGTTAAAGTTTCCCTTTTAAGACTAGAGATTCAGTCACAAAAATGTTACAAATTCACGGGTATGCAATACATTTCTAATGAAAACTGGTAAGTAACGTCGAAAGTGCATGCCCCCTGGTGATATGGTCATTAAAATGTTTGTTTGTTTGTTTCCTAGAAAAGAAATTAAACAATTGTTGTCTGAATTAGATGAAGAAAAAAAGATTCGGCTACGATTACAGGTACTTGTATATGTGGCATAAAGCAGCTTTATAAAGCTATTAAGCTAAAACATAAAAAAAACTTTTAATGGAACCTTGTATCTCATAGTCCAGTAAGTTTTGTTTAGCATGAAAGATAGGAAATAAAAAAGAAAAATATGTTTAACGTATTTTTTCCAATATTAAAATGTTTAACAATAGCCAAGAAAATATTATTCATCAGCCTTTTGAGAGGCTTAGGATCAATAAAATTTAAGTTTTGTGCAGAGAAACCTTTTATCTTTGTACTGTTTTCTAACTGGTAGTGCTTTTTTCTGTACAGAGAAAGTATGTAGGTATTTTCTGTATGCTTTTCTGGAGAGGCAAATAGTAGCTTTAGAGAATAGTTTAATCAGGAAAACAAAGCAAGAGCAAATATTTTTAAAAATCTCTTTCAATTTTCCCTTTCCAAGCAGCTCCTTTGAACTAAAAAAAAGAAAAGGAAAATCTAATCATGGATACCTTGTGTCACATTTTCCCCTTACAGTCTCCTATATAAAACTCTTACATTACAATATACTCTTGATTTAAACCAAGCTTTTAAAAGAAGTGATTTCTCTCTCCTTGTGAGTTCCTGTTTCTGAAGTTGTATCACTTTATACATATGGATTTTATTCCCTTTCTTAACAATTCCTAACATTAAATTGAAGATGAAGAGTTAGCATGTTGGATTGAACAATGGGTGACATAAATGCTTGGTAAAATAACTAGTTGATGGATATAGTTTAATCTGATTTTCTTCTTTTTAGATGGAGGTTAATGATATAAAGAAAACTCTTCAATCAAAGTGAATTCTGGATAGATGGAATGTTGTATTAATTCATTATGACAGAGACTTTATGCCCCAAACAAAATAACTTTGTGCCAAATGATTAAAAGATCTGCCTATACTTCTTTGTTTGGACAACTAGCACAAGAGTTTAATAGCACAACACAAATTCCAGTGAAGAACAAAAATTTCTATGTGATACACTTTCTTGAAATGGCACTGGTTGTGACTGAAATTTTTCTTATTGTGCTAAAATCTTTTCTGCTTCACGTTCACAGGCAAATTGAAAACTCAGGCAGTTTAGTTCATAGTGGTACTATTTTAATGATATTTTCCATAAGTAAATTGTTTATCAGTTTACAGGTTTCATGAGTTTGACTTTTTAAATTGTCTTTTGTCACAGATTCTTAAAATGTTTGTATTGCATATATCCAGAAATGAATGTTGATATTGGGTGAGGGGTTTGTTTCTCTTAAAGCAGCTTAATGTGTGTTGTTTTAAATACAATTACATATGCAATCTTATGTCCAAAAATTATCTACAAGGTGAATCTTAAGTTTGTGTATAAATGGTATATTTAAAAAGAAAAAGAAAAATCTGGTCTTTGCAATGATTTGTGCCTTCTTTTGCCAAACATGGATTGGAACTGGTTGTAGGCCAGATTTTAGAAATGTAGCTATCACAATGAGGCCTGTCTATCTACTAGAGGTCCGTCTTTCAGCATATTAACTGCTTGCTCATCAAAATCTTTATTTTTGATCTGATTTGATTCGGCTAGATGATGTAATGACCACACTGAGTTTGAGGCAGCTTTATTTTAACTAGTATTGCTTATTATTATTATTATTATTATTATTATTATTATTATTATTATTATTATTATTATTATTATTACTTTGCTTACTGTCACTCAAACTTTAAACACCCACTTTTATCTCCAATTTTGCACATCTTGGGTGGACAGAACATGCATCATCTAAGAGCAAACAAGAATAAAATATAAATTAACAAGAGAAAATTATATTATTACTTGCACAGAAAACTGTGTAATATTAACCTCATTTAATCAATTGTAAGCCTGCAAATTTGGGATGAATGGTTTCTGTATTGGCATCTTACCAAATGACTTATGTCAAAGCAGTGTTTACATCTCTATTGCAGATAGTGAAGATTTCAGCTTTTAAAGGCAAAGGAATGTATATGTGTTTGCATAATATATGTGCGATCTCTGAGACGTGCTCATAACAAAATTATAGTTGGATTTCTTATTTCCATAATAGAGTACATTAATAGTGCAATCCTATGCATGTGTATTGGGATGAGTTTTGTTCAGTTCAGTAAAATGTATTATCAGATAATGGTATGAAAGCTTGCAGCCTGATTTTACAACCCATATTCCCTTACTACAGAATAAACATTAAAAGCAGTAAGACTTACATGTGAATAAACATGCATAGGATTGCACTGAGTGTTCTTGAATACCTGAGATATGTGTCCTGCTGAAATATCCATCTTTGGTTATATAATAGTATTTTAGTGTTTCTCTTTTCACAGAGCTATGAAGTTTACATTAAATATCACATGGTGACTTTATCATATCAAATATAAACATTTAATATTTATCATTTAAATATCTACATTTAAAGTTGCTAACTTCTATTTGTTATTGGATAGGAGACTTAAAAGTATTGCCATGACACCCAAAAATGTCCTATAATTGCATTTATTAATAGCTTCATATCAGGATGGAACATCCAGGTTTGAAATTTAGTAATGCATCCAAATACTTATATTAATCATGTATATTTTCCTTTATTAACATTGATACAAGCACACTAATCAAAAATTTGTCACTGTGATATCTTTCAGGATTTTAAGATTACATTAGGATTTCTGTATTAAAATGACCAAATCATCTTGATGAGTGTTTTACATTGAAGCATGAAAGTAAATCATGGAACTGATTTCTTGGTCTTCACAGCATTCATGTGATAAATCAGTGTTAGCCCTTGTTGTTTTATCAAACAAACTTGATTTCCAGTCATAATCTAAGAGTGTAGAGTATTGTGCTGCAACAAAGAGGTCTAGGCAGTGTTACAGTGTCATGATCTATAGACACCAGCTTAAGTACTTAAGAGTGGACAAAAGGCTGTAGGACCTTGAAATGCCATAAGTCCATGGTCATGGCAGTTCTTTATCAGCATGCCATTCTGAATGTTTTCTTGGAAACGTGTATCAAGCTGTGGAAACTGGTGGGAAAGATTACTAAAAATGCTGTGAGATAGAGGGCTGATGAGGCATTATTACTGCAGCAAAGGAACTGTTTTCTATTGCATCAGATATTGCTATCCTAATGAATATTTTAGGAGGAATATTTGGTTTCTTTGTGTGTCCACATCATTCTCCCTGGGATTTAGTAATCTCTGTGTCATGGAAAGTAATCAAGTGTGACCTGGTTCTTATATTCTTAGGAGTGCAAAATCTGCACTCTCACTGTAACACCTTCAAAAGGGTTGCCAAGTTGTAATTTCAGTGTGGCAGAAGGTAGAAATAATGAAATACGTTGGGAGTAATAATATATTTATTTTTTAAAAATAAGTTTAAATGAAGTTTTTGTCCTTGTTCTGCCAACATCTTTGTCCCGCTCTTTGAAGAGCAGGCCCAGCATTGCCACTCAAAACCCCAAGTGCAGCCACTAGCCTGGAAAAGGTTGCACCACTGCTCTACTAAGATGCCAGTGTGAAACGGACCCTGATGGTTTGGAAGTGATTTTTGCATGACTGAGCCTGAATCTAAGGCTAAACAGGCTCTGCCCCAGTTTTCCTATTAGACCTTTCTAGTTCTCTTAGAGGTTTTCTAGCAATAAAGATATATAGCTGCTAGCTTCAACATTGTGGGAATCCAACAGGAGGACAAGTAGTGTTTCTAATTTATATATATTTGAAACTTGGAATAGTTTAATAGGTTTTTGATTTCATTCACTTGAAAAACTTACTGTGAATTGTTACAATATAGATTCAAAGACAGAGCCTTGAAAACTAAGACGTTCTAAAATCTTATTTTAAAAGAAAATGAAATATTTGAGTTCAGCATCGATTGACCTGAAATCAGGGTTCTAATTCCTTTTTCTCTTCCTGTTATGTTGGTAAATTGTCATTTTATAAACCTGTATCGAGGAGTCCAATGTATTGTGATTTGTAAAATAAGATTAAATGAGATTTTATGGAAATTCTTTGTTTAATGCATTGATTTTTTTTTTTGAAATTTGAATTGTTTATTCTGCATTATATTTACAGATGGAAAGTATTTTACAT